GGTCGACATGACAAGGGTTTGGTAGCAGGGGGGGCTGCAGGAAGGGGCTTCTGAGAGAAGAAACCAGAATTTGCCCCCAGCCAGGCAGAGCCAGTTTCAGCCAGCTGCTTAAAAAGTTAGTGTCTCTAAGGCTTGCATTCATGCAAGGGCTCTATGCTGAAAATAAGCCACATCAACAGATAAAGCCTATAGTGCTACACAAGCCAGTTTCTCCATGTGTTTGTAATGAATGTAGATACTTTACATACAAAAGGCCCTAGAACACAGCAATTATTAAAACCATAAATATTGGCAAAGAATCTTTGACTGAACTGATGGCAAAACAACAGCAGGGTAAACTGAAAGCTGTCCTTATTGTAAATTTAGTACCTTGACATAAGAGGTCTGCAAAAACCTTTTCAGGTTACAGATGTAGTGTATTATGCTTAGTAACTTGGACAAAAAGTTGTAAGTCAAAGTTTCTACCTTGCTTCCACTGACGTTGTGGAATTTCTTCTCCAAAACCTTCTTCACTGGATCCTCTTCCTTGAAAGTGATGAACACAAACCCCCTCCTTTTGTTGGTCTTTGGATCCATTGGAAGTTCAATTGCTTCAATCTGAAGACATGAAATACTATTTTCAGACTTGTATTTTATCAGAACACTTAAGTACAAGGCATTTGGGACAGTAAAACTATTAAGTTTCCTCTCTATGCATATTATGCAACACCAAAGCAGCATTAGTCTTTCTATATTAACACTGGCCTTCAGACCAGAGATTTCCATTTTACAACTCTTCAAACCAATTGTAATATCAGCTAAAAATGCTTTTGAGTTAAAGGCAAGGGTATCCAAGTAGCACTGGAAGCATCTAGTGTAGTATGTGCCACCTTTGCTCTCAAGGTGGGGAAACCTCTGGATCAGTTACAGAAGCCTGGATACATCTGAAGTTAATCTACTTTGAAACTTCCAAAGTATTAGTAAACTAAATAGCAACTGGAGACTACATGTTTCAGAGTTTACCGGGATAACATTACACACCTCTCCAAATTCTCCAAAGTATTCCCTGATTTTCTCTTCTGTGGCTTCTGGGTTTAGTCCACCAACAAATATTTTCTTCACTGGATCCTTTTTCATTGCCATGGCCTTCTTGGGATCAATTAGTCGGCCATCTAGTCTGTGTTCTTTCTGTTCCAGAACCTGAAAGACAGTTTGGTATGGTTAATTCAAGCTGAAAAGTTTCCCCTCAAAGTTAAGGATCCAAAATATGAAGTTCAAATTCACCTTTTCCACACTCCCAGGTTCTTTGAAGAGAATAAATCCAAAGCCTCTGGATCTTCCTGTGTTAGGGTCCATCTTTATCGTGCAGTCGGTTACCTCACCGAATTTGGTGAAGTAATCTTTCAAGTCTTTTTTGCTCGTATCCCAGCTGAGGCCACCAACAAACATCTTCCTGAAATTTCAAAGAGAACAGCTATTTAGATTCAGGAAGGACTACAGCAAAGCCCATGCAGCAAGATGCTCAGTGGCACACTCCTCAGCAGCATTGTCAGAACACGACCAACTGGTCCAAGTTAAACATTTTGCCTCTTGTCTAAAGCTGGTGGTACTACAGGAGTGCACAAGGGTGGGTTTCTCCCCCTCTTTTTGAGGAAATGCCACAATGCACCCTGAAGCTGATTACATGCTATAAGAAACAGCACAAATTGCCTGAAATATTCCTCACCAGTAACTTATGTTCTTAGGTTGTTTGCAACAAAGCAGTATTGATTATCAGGTCCTGCCAACTCAGTTTTTGCAAAGAATCCAGGATCATTCCTACTGCTCTGAAAGCATCCAGCAAAGAGTAAGGCATTAAAAGCAAAATACATGAGCTCTTTAAGGTTTTGGTCCAATGGCTGTAAAAATTTTAGTCCTAGGAACAATCTGCAAAATTTAAACCAGGTATCTATGACCTCCAATAGCAGTCACATACATGAGATGGGACTTTGGACCTGCCTTAACTACTATGTTGTACACTTCTTCCTGCTTAGTTACTGAACCTAGTTCTGTCTTCATCAGTACTACAGGAGCCTCTCCACTATTAGCCTTTACTTCCAAAAAGGCCAATACAGTCATTCCCTGCCTACTTTCCCACACAAAATATCCTCTGAAAAAGGAGATGCATCTCAAAGAACTAAATTCTAGTGAGACACAATACACAAGTTCAGCTAAAAAACAAAACAGTGATATCAGGCAATAAGGCATTTTTCAAATGCTTCACTTCAAATGAAAACATTAATAACACGGCTGTATTTTCTATTTCCAGAGTTTCCAAGGTAACAAACTGAGCTTTTAAAAGCGTTTGAGCCTTTTTATCTAACTATAGACTGAAGCAGTTTAAGTTGTCATTACACTGTTTAGAGGCAACCTAGATTTGGCACTAGGAGGTATCAGCACTTTAAAAACTAGACTATGCCTAAGTAAAATTGGCTTTGGGGGCTTATGTGTAACTTTGATTCACTAGAACTGCTATCCATTTATATTCAAAAAAAAGAAATGTGGGGGGAAAAAAAAAGGTGTTATAGGGGTTTTGCCCTTTTTTCTTAACCTGGATGAAACTTGGCTTATCCTTTGCGGGCTAAACCCTTGTGTTTTCCAGAAAAACCTGCTGTGCACTCTTAGCTGGTGAGTGCAGCAGGATGTACAGGGTCCTGCAGCCGTTAGAGCAGAGCCTTACAAAGTTTACTAAGCCTTTCAATACCAGGTTAAAGGACGGTCACTCAGTGGATTCCTTCCCATCACAGCTCCCTGACCGAGCTATAACCCGAAGAGACTCACAGCAGTTGTCCACAGCACACCCCGGCATCACTGACTACACTTAGATCAAGAGTAACTCGGTGGCTGGGGGATGACAGGATTTGTCCGGAGGCAGCTTTAGCTGCTTTATGCCATCGGGCTGGGGCTGTGGTGCACACACAGGCATTGCCACACGCTCAACTCACCTCTTACCACAGCAGTACACATTACACTCTGCAATTTGCAGTGCTTTGTTTTGTAACTTGAAAGACTGATACCTACACGTATTTAAGTAGCACAATATAGAGCCTTTGAAACTACGACCAAATTCCTGGTATTTGGGTTTGCCTTTAGAGGCCACAAACTGGACAACTGCACCCTTAACACAGTCTTTTTTTCCCCTCCTGAGAGAACTGGTGCAGCTAAATCGAAGCTTGTTTCAGCTCTTAACAGAACACTCTAATGTCAGTGGCTTGGACAGCTCTTGTTTTAGCACAGCACTACATTTTCCATATAGGCCAATCAATCCCTCTAAAATAACTGCTTTTCTTGGAAGTTTCATTTCATACGGATTTGGGGTTGAAACTTGTCACCTCCTGTGCAGGAAAAGAAGAGCATCAACCCTCTTTTCAGCACAAAACACTAAAAACAGTAAAAGGAAAATTCACACACGGCTGGAAGGCCTAGTTTTCAATTCTTCTAATGTCTGCAAAAGGTACATCCGGCCCCAGCTTGTAGAAAGCTTGTGCAAGTCTTATTCCTTCCTTTACAGCCAAAACCTACTACACTGGCTTCAGTTCTCTGTTTGACCTGAGGGATCTGACCCTCTGGTCCAGGGCTCGGTGATAACAAAGGGAATTCCAATTAAATACGTAGGGTAGCCTGAATAACAAAGACCCGCCTGAGAAAACAGGCAAGTCAAGTACGTATATTTACAAACAGACAAACTATGATAGGAAAGAAATTCCTCTTTTGTACACAAGGATGCCTCGACCAAAACACATCGAAACTACTCTGACTTCTCCAGAAATCACTTGCGAGACATAAGCCGTTTTCTGACAATGCTGCAAAGTAGCACACCAAAATCGCTCTTACTGGTTTGAACACACCGCGCACCGTCTCCATCGTCCCCGTTTTCCCTTTACTTCTTTTATAAAATACTTGGCTTACCCCGACCGCCTTCCAAAGCCAGGTTAATTTTTTTTTATGCGCGTTACACAAAACACGTTCGCATTTACATCGACGCCGGTCATGCGATCCCCAGAAAGTTTCAACCAGCCCCCCCTGCAACACAAAGCAACTCCTTCCATCCGCCCCTTTCGCTCGGGAGGAAAAGGCTGAGGAAAAACGCGGGAGAGGTAAATCCCCTTCCATTTTACAGCGTGAGACGGCACCAGCCCCGCTCGGCGCCCCTCCCCCAGCCGCCACATGGCGCCAACAAAAGGCAGCGCCAGAACAAAGGAAGCGCTGGTGCTGCAGGGCCCCGGCTCGGCGGGGCCGCTCCCGCCGCCCTCCCCGCGGGGCCGGGGGCGCTGCCGGGCCCGCCGGGCCGCGCACGGCGCCCGCGCTTACCCCGCGTCCTCCTCGTTCTTGCTGGCGTTGATCTGGTCGCCCTCAGCCCCGTTCTGGCTGGCGGCCGTGCCCGCCGTGCCCGCCGCCGGCCCAGCTCCCGCCGCCGCCGCCGATGCCGCTCCCGCTGCCCCCGCCGCCGCTGCTGCTGCTGCTGCCGCCGCTGCTGGGGCCGCGCCGCTCTCGGCCTGCTGCTCCCCAGCGCTCTCGGCCGCTTCGTGCCCGTTCTGGGTGGCGCCGGCCGCCAGCTGCTGCTCCGCTTCGGACATGGTGCCCCGTCCGCTGAGGGAGAGGGACGAGAGGCTCCTGCGAGAGACGAGCGCGGGTCAGCGCGGCAGCTCCTCCCCGGCCGGGCCGGTCTGATCCGGTCCGCTCACACCCCTCCCCCTTTCCGCCGCCGCCATCCCGCCCGGTACTCACTTTAAAACCCGCTCCCGATAAAACCCGGGCCGTCCGGAGTCCGATTAAAAGCGCCCCGGCGCTGGAGCCGATCGCGCTGCCCGCGGCTGCTCCGCTCCGGCCGCGCCGCCACCGCCGCCTCCCCCTCAGACACGTACTCGGGCCCAGGCCCTCGACGCGTGGCCGCCTTTATAGCGCCGGAGCCTCCGCCACCTCGCAACAAGGCACGCGCTCGTTGGCCGTCCCCGCCCGTCACTCAGCACGTTCGGCGCTCGCCGTTGGCTGGGCCGCGGGGGTGGGCGGTGCCCGGCCGGGAAGGGCGGGCGAGGCGGGATCGGGATATCGGGATAGGGATCGGGATGTCGGGATATGGGGATCGGGGCCCAGCGCGGCCCTTGGGGCCCGTTGTGCACGCCCGGCTGTGAGGGGAGCGCTGCGCTCACTCCCAGTGCCCGCCGCTCCAGCTCGAGGTGCGCTCTGTGCACGGAGTCGGTCGTTGCTCCAGGACACGGAAGGTTTTGCTTCGTGTTTACAGCTCCGCTGGTTCTGCAACCCGAGAGAGGCCAGAGTTTGGTGTTGGTTTTTTTGTGTTGTTTTGTTTTTAACTTAGGTTGGATATTACATAACTGCGGGAGCCGGAGCGCCGAGCACGTGCCCAGCCCTTAATTCCTTTCGCCCAGGGATATGTCAGCCTCCCTGGCAAAGTCGGGCTGCAAAGTGCAGAACTCAACTTGTAACCACAGCTCACGTTCTTGTACAGTTTACAGCTCCTAACGTCCCGTTTGTCCATGTCTAAGGGACAGAGCTTGGCTTCTGGACATGCAGCCAAAGCTCACGGCCACATCTTTAAAGAAAATAAAAATTAAGTCCTTAGCTTGTGGGCAAAAAGTAGTAATTATTACCTAACTTACCGTGGTAATGAGTGCACGTGGTACTGCCCGCTCCACCCTCTCAAATATGTCTTGTGGCTCAACTTGGGTATTTTCTTCTGCTGTTACAACTCAGAAGGAGTGCACAGAGCTGCTTGTGAATAAAAATAAATAATGGTGATACATTTTGTTAAGTCTTTGTTTTGGGATCTGAGTGGTCCTTCTTTTAGAGCACTTTTTGTCCTAAATACAGTAGGCCAGAACTTCAGAGATCTCTATCTCAACATAGGCTGCTGACAGGGTAGGGTACCCTATAGACAAACAACAGTTTAGGCTGAACTTTGTAAAACAATGTTCTCTCAGGTCAGGGCAGTAAAGATACTACAAAAAGCACCTAACCAGTACACTTGAACATTGTAATGTCCTCAGGACAGGCTGCAGATGTTGGCTGACAAAGATAATTATCTTTATGAGAATATATTTTTAGATAGTTTTCTTGTATTAAGCTTTAAATAAAATGCTAGAAGCAAATAATTTTTTCTTAAGATATTTATCCTAATTTATACCATCTCAGAAGAGCTTACCCCACATCCAGCAAGAGGACTTCTTGTGACTTCCTCAGGCAGCTTTGGCTTAGATTGTAAACCTATCAGGTTTACACCAAAAAGGTGTGGTTTGTGATTAAAACCAGCTCAGCCACCGTCTGTCAGCTGACTGCATTCACTGACATAGTGCTGATAGCCTGCTTAATTGGAAAATACCACACATTTGCTTAAGTGATTACCTGGAGCTCAGACCACACTGATACTCACAGGTTGCTGTAGCTGGCATTGATGAAGTAGTGAATACCACTGATCTTGTGCTCTGCCCACCTTCTTTTGCAGGTTTTTGTGGATGCAGTTCTGGCAGGTGACTGCAGGAATACACCTGCCCCGAAGTTACAAGTTTATAGACCAGCATCTGAGAGTAAAATGAAAATTGCAGCAGTTTACACGGGGCTGTCAGGTAAGTTCAGGCTCAGCTGATGGATGTAACCTGAGTGCTTTTCATGATATATTTATTACTTCATTTTCTTGGAAGATTCACTGCCCATAACATCTGCTTTGTATTTCACAGAGTCTTGCTAAGGATGTGGATGATTGACATCTCATTTGGACTTTTCCATACATTTACCTTTTCTCCTTTTTTCCCCCCCAGTTCTCTTTCTTGCTTTGCCAAACCTGTCTCATCTTTCCCTTCCACTGGCACTTTGGCAAGTGTTTTCCTGTTCCTGCTTAACGGGGCTTTCTTTGAAGCTGTGTTTTTTCCAGATGCCCATTTCTCCTGGTCAGGTCCATCTCAATCTCTCATCTTAGCAATTCCAAACAGCAGCTCCCAGGGCTCTCTGTGATTCCCAGACACTCCATTTTAATAGCTGTTTGATGCCTCCTGTGTCCCATGTCCAACAGCAGGATAACAGTGTGGTTGTAGACTGGCTAAGCAGCCTAGTTTGAAAGCTGTGCCTGGCCCAACTAACAAAGTCATTCTTTACACATCTAGACATGGAAGACTGAGAAACTTGAGAGTATGGGTTGTTATGGTTATAATTTTTCTCACCAAGCCCCATCATGCCACAAATAATTTTTAAAAATTCCTCAGGGCTGTGACTTGGGTTTTGGTCTTGCATTTCACTCCCCACTCAAAGCCTGTGGTTAATCAAAGAAAAGTACACACATACCTTCTTGGGTGGTAATTCTCCTTACCTGACACATTTACCACTGAGAAAAAAAAAACTATCATTGTTTGCCATTTTTTAATCCTGTAATTATTATTTTAATCCTGTAATTACTATTCATGGTAATGTCTGAATTTCAATTGAATTTTACTTGCATATGGACTTTCTGATCTTGGGCCTAATTTTGCAGTTCCATCAAATTTGCAGTGGATGCCAAGCCCTGCCTTGAAAACTGTTCATACCAGTTTTGTGCCATACCTGTGTCTTCATTGCCTCCTTCCCTTCATCCTCTCCATTTTCCCATTATTTCCATTGTGTTGATTTTTCTAGGTACCCTCTTCTTTAAAGAAAAAAAAGAGAGAACAAACATCATTCACTGCCTTGAATCTTGGTGTAATTTATCTCAGGTCACAAACTGCCTGTTCTATACCAACTACAGATGCTATAGAGAGCTTCTGTCTTAGTCTTTACACAGCACAAATAAATACATCTTATTAATAATAATAACTATGTAAGTAACCCCAGTGATAGGGCTGAAGGTAAGTGCTAAAAATAAGAATGGCAGAAAAGATTCCTTATGCAACACAGAACTGAGATGAAGAGAAGATGCCTTTGAGGAGGCACTGACTTTAAAAAGAAAGCCTTTTTTAACTGATTGCCTCTTGTAGTTCATTAGATAAAATATTTTTATTGGTTTATTCATACACTCATTTCTTCATCGTGGATGGGATCACACTGGGTACTTATCCCTGAGCTTAGAGGCCTCAGGGATAATCCAAGCCAGTATTATGTTAAACATTATGTAGAACAATGAAGCAGCAAATGCCTGCAAGTGTTTCCGCTCCAAAAGTTTAGGTAGAAGCCTAATATCAATATGCAGTATCTGTACAGAATGTCTGTACAGATGAGGAGGAGCTTTATAGAAAACAAGTTGTCAATGCCAACCTCTACAGGTGTTCAACAGGAGCTCATCCTGAGCCACAACATGGGATAAAGCAGGAAGGTGTTTACTTGAAAGGGCAGTAGTGGAATTCAGTTGTAGGGCTGGCAGGACACAGGAGATACCTTTACAGAGTGAAACAAAAGGTACCTAGAACCAGATCAGTGTGTGAAAGAGCTTGGAACTGAAGAACAACAGGTTTGTGTGTGATAGAGACCCCTCTCTTTGGAAAGGTGTGGGAAAATAACATAGTTACTGAATAACTAAGGGAAAGGCCTTGCAGAGCTTTCTGAATGGAAGCAAATGCTTTATCTGCTGAGGCCAGAGAAAGGTTGTCATCAATAACTGAGATGAGGAGAGCTCAAGCACAATCCCCAGTCACATCAATGAATAACAAAGACTGTGTCTTGGCTGACTTTTCCCCAGCAGTTCAGACCAATCTGAGCCCAAACCCTACATTTGTAAGGTTTCCACTCCTTTGCTCAGTTGGCTGTAAAATCACTCAGTGAAAAGGGGTTGAGTTTCAGGCAGATGGTTTGTCTAACACACTCTCATTACCCAGATTTGAATTGCAACAGAGACACCTGAAGTTGGAAGGCAGTGCTGAGAGACAATCCCACCTACACTTGCCATTAGGATGTGAGCTTGGAGAGAAGGGAGGAGAGTCAAAAATGGCACTAACCACTGCAGAAAAGGGAAAGAAACACAAGAGAAAGGACTGACAAGCCAAGCTGAACCAGCTGAAATAGGTGAGAATAACTGCAAAAACTAAGCTAGGACATGATCTAGGTACGCTAAATGCGAATGAAGGGCAAATGAGAGTGGTTTGAGATGGATTGAGAAGCTTTCAGATGATGAGAGGAAGCAAAACCAAGTTTGAAGGGAACTTTTTTTTTTTTTAAGGTAAAGAGACAAGCATATCTGAGTGGGTGCTGGGGGTCAGAGCAGACTGAACAAGTAAAGCTGTGAGCAAATGAAGGAGTAGGTGTTGGGAAGATCAGGAAATAGAGTGAAGTTAATGGGGCAAGTGATGGAGTTCCAGAAGACGTGTAGATAAGCTTTTGTTATTGCCACTTAGAGACTTGTAGGCAGAGGAAGCAGCAAGAGACCAACTTATTACTTTTATCTTTAAAGAAAATGGTGAGATAACAGAGGATAGCAAGAAGGAAGGCCTGACAAGGGTTAATCAACAGCAATAGAAAGCTCAGTAGGATTACAGGAGTGCAGAGGGGCTGCAGAAGGAGAATTGTTTAGTTGTGAGGAGGCAGAAATGGAGGAGAGAGCAGGCGTGCAGGAGAGGAAGTTGGCTCGATCACAGGATTTCCGTCAGAGACACTTTGCACTGCAAGAGCAAGCATGGGTGAAGCAAGCAGGGAAGGTAAGCTGGTTCTGTGGGTAGGTATGACAGTTCAACATGAAAAGAAAGGAAAAAAGAGTCAGTGGTGAATGAAAGTTGTGTGTGGTAAATGTACGGTTAGGACATTGCTACTGAAGCAAACGCATTTCTGTACTTAACATCAAAATGCAAATAAAGCTAAAAGATGTGCAAGGTTGATTTTTAATCAATGCTACTAGTTGGTATTATTTCTTTAGCTTTTCTTCACTCTGTTATTTTCTTCATTCTGTTTTTCTTCCTTTTTTAACAGTCTACAAGACGTTAGTTTCTGCTCTGCACCTTCTTGCAGTACAAAGCTCTGAAATAATACTTTTCCTGAAAAAGTTATTTATTTGTTGCTGCTAGGATTTAAATGCACCTGCAGCCCACAATCTTTCCATGTTGTTATATTCCATGCCAGCTAAAAATAAGTGAGACAACTAAGGCTTGTTAAACCGCTTAACAGATAAGATACAGCAGCCAAGCTATGCCCAGAGTATTCAGAACTGCAATGGTTCATTGCATTGTAATTATAATTTTACTTTTGTTTTTTTGTTTGTTTTTTTTCTTCTCTTAAAACCACATCCCTGACCTCCAGAAGTTAGGGAAGATGCTTCAGACCAGCCTTTCAGTTATCAGAAGTATTTTTTCAAGCACTATAAAGACGGTAAACATAATTTATTAACACAGAGTTTTGAGGACAGGTTTATGGCATCCAAGGCTTTAGAAGAAAGCTTTAAGGTTCTGCCGGTGTAAAAAGACGTGTCTTTGTTGGGGAACGCATGATTTTCTCTTAATGTGCGGGGCCACTTTAAATTTGTACGTCTGCATTATTAAACCATCGTGGGAAGTGTAGCAGGAGGAAACCCCGGGTAATTGGCTGCAGCTCCAGATGCAGCCGCTCGCCCATTGGAGAGCGGAGGATTCTCCGAGAACTAAAATTAGACACTCTCCGCCCTCCAGAAATGCTTCTGGAAACAGCGAGCAGGAGAAATTCTGACACAGCCCGAGGGCCTGTGGAGAGGAGAGGAGCGCACAGGACTCTGCTCTCAGCCAAACTGCAGCCTCTAAGGATGCACAGAAAGATGTTTGGGGCTTTTTTAACTCGGTTAACTGTAAAAAAAAATAAATGCACGCAATAAAGAAATTGCAAGGGATTAATGTTAACTGTTTTACACGGATATTAAATCTAACATTTCTTATGTAATAATTCTGAAGTGTTCATGCAGGCTGAGGACTGCTAAATTTAAGCTAGGGCTGTCAGACTTGAGCTCATTGAAAAGGAACAACTCTTGCTGAATTAATTCTGAACTAAACTAAAAAACTGGTGAACTCTTTCTATCAGCATTTTTAAAAAAAAATAAAACATGTTTATCCATTATCTCTCTGTAGCTGGAGTGTTTACGCTGTCTTCAAATGAAACACTGCATAAGGTATTTCTGTTAAATAAAAAAATGCTATGTGCCTATGTTGGTGAGGGAAAGCCTGTATCTGGATTACTCAGTCTAAGGCATTTGGAACCTTCATTTTTGTTAGGGTATGTGAATAACAACTTCAATTGTTGGTTTCTAAGCATATCTCAAACTGGCTGAGAGGAAATAATTGCATTGTTTTGTTTCTTGCTCCTATGTTTACAGTAGTTACATGACTCACAAAAAAGATTTGGACAAAATGGATTTTTCTTACTCTAAAACCAACTTGTGCAGTAAATTAGCTATTTCCTCAGCTAACGAGGGCACACGGTGTCAGCATCTATGGCTCCAAGTAAGGGGGCTTTTTTTGTCTTTCCTCCTTTGCATCTACTTTTGGACTGACTTCATTAAAAAAATAATGTTTATATTCCTGTGTTTTCTTTCTGTCCCTTCCCTCTGTCAGCGTCACCTCAAGGGTTCAAGCGCAGTTTTGGCTGAACTCGCCAGCAGGCCCGAGGTCTCCAGAGCACCTCAGATCGCACGGTTTTTGAGAGCAGGGTGACAGAGCCAGCTCAGGGGTTATCGGTGCCGCTCTCCGGCCCACGCCCCGATAGCGTGGGGCCAGCTGGCCGGGCTCCATCCCGGGAGCTCGGGGTAAACAGGGACGGAGGCGACACCGGAGCACCCAACACCTCGACTTCCCAGCCACTGCCCGGGCCATGGCACAAAGGATCATGTTGGATGGACCATGGCTGTGCCATGATTGCTCCCAGCTGAGGAAATAGGGAGTGTGCAGGGAAAAAATGTGTTGGCGTGATGGTGGAAAATCTGGGATAAACCCCCAGGGAATGGTGGCTCCCCAGCTCTGCTTAAGGCGCAGCTCATCATGGCTTAATGCAGAAAACTGTTTCCTACTCACTATATGTTTGTTTTTCTCGTAAGATAGACACTGTAATTCAATAAAAGTGCTGAAGAACACCATTAGAGAGCTGTGGAGGCGGATCAGTGGCCGGGTGTGCCGGAGGCTGTGCGCGGTGAGCTCCTGAACCCGCTGCTGCTGGGCAGGAACATAAACAGGAAACCTTCACAAACACCGATAAATAACCTCCAAAGGCCTTCTGTGCGTATTCTTCCCCCGCCCGATAAATCGCGTTACTTCACGAGCGTTCGCTGTGACCTCATCCCCTCCCTCAGCGGTTGTAAGCCTGAGGTAAAACTGACATAAAGCTTTTATTGTCACGGAGAAATGCGGGTTTTTTCGGGAGTCCTCCAGTCACGATACTCCTGCACGACATGGGGAACCCTTCCCGAGGCAGCTGTGGCCGCTGGTTGTAAGCCCGCGGCCCGCGGCTTTCCCGGCCCGTGTGGGCCGCTCCGCCTCCCGCCGCCATCACCGCACCGCTCCCGCCGCCATCTTCGTCCCGCCCCGCCCCGCGCGCGGCCGAGGCCCGCGGGCGCCATCTTGTGTCCCGCGCCCGCCCCGCCATCGCCTGGCAACGGCGGGCCGGGATCGCCGGGAATCCCCCGGGAATAGAGGGTTGGGAAAGCCCATCCCGGTCCCGAGGCAGGTGGAACGGAGCGGTTACGTGCGAGTGTTGCAGCGGGTAGACGGCCAGGCGGGTGCTGCGTGCCCGGATCTGCTGTAGGGCGGATGGGAGCGTGGGGCTGAGCGGGCGGTGGGCGAGGGGAAGCGCTGCAGGTGTCGTTGTGTGCAGTTCTGTGAGGGTTGGACACGATCCCCCACAGCATCCTGCTCTTTAAATTCGCCTCAAAAGGCTGAGGGAGGTGGAGGTGTTCAGCCTGGAGAAGAGAAGGCTCCAGTGTCTAAAGGGGCTCCAAGAGAGCTGGAGAGGGACCTGGGACAAGGGCCCGGAGGGACAATGCAAGGGGGAATGGCTTCACACTGACAGAGGGAAGGGTTAGATGGGATACTGGGAGGAAATTCCTCCCTATGACGGTGGGGAGGCCCTGGCCCAGGTTGCCCAGAGAAGCTGTGGCTGCCCCATCCCTGGAAATGTCCAAGGCCAAGTTAGATGGGGTTTGGAGCAACCTGGGCTAGTGGAAAATGTCCCTGCCCATGGCAGGGGGTGGAATGAGATGATTTTTAAGGTCTCTTCCCACCCATGCCATTCCTGATGAGAAGAAGGTCACAAGTGGTCACAAGTCTGTAGGAAACCCTCACAATAGTTCCCCCATTCCCGACACAGTTCTGTGCTCTGGGCTTGCCAGTGGATCTGCTCAGTGAGAAAACTGGCACTTTGTCTTGAGCCCATAAATACAGCAATTAAATAACGATTGAGAAATACCCTGAGGCTCAGAGATGGACCAGCTCCCCAGTCTTCACACATGAGGATACAGATATGGGGTTTGGAGGAACCCAGGGTTGGTGGATGGAGGGTGTGGGAGTACAGTGAGCCCACGAGCCTGGCTCGCTCCTGCGCTCAGCAAGGTGTGTGATAATGCTTCTCTTTCCTCACATGCTGTCCGAGTTAGTGAAGAACAACACTGAATCTTTTCCTTATGTTCCACAAAATGCTGCTGCACTGAAAATGGCAATGTGAACTGCAGAGTGCTGACCAGTCCAGAGAACATCTTATGGATTTTGTGAGGTGGGGGTGTCTGTTCTCAGAGTACATGGTGGATGTCACCGCAGGGGACTGTGCAGTAGACAAACTCCAAATGTCGTGGTGTCATTGCAGGACAAAAGGGCCACGTGAATTCTAATTTAGAAGCTAAGATGGAGGTGTTAATGCCCGAACCTCAGATTTATGTGGAAAAAACTCTGGCTATCATCAAACCTGATGTCATTCATAAAGAAGAAGAAATAGAGGATATCATTCTCCGATCAGGATTCACCATCATTCAGGTAACAGGCTGTGCTCCAGAGAAAACAACTGCAGCTTATAAGTCAGGATGATGTTTATTTTAGCTTTCATCAATCAAGCCAGTAACTAAAAGCTTGTGTGTCCAAAAATCAATTTATATTTTTCGTATGTCATCAAGCATCGCTGCCAGATTCTGTAAGGAGACCTTTTTTTGGTGCATGGGATGGAACAGAGCAGACCAACTATTTTGCTGACCACAGGAAAACACTGATTTTGTTAATAAAAGCTTTAGCAAACGCCCGGAGCAGATGTGTGGACTCTCTGAAGTAACTCTTTGGAGAGCACATCATTCTGATCTCAGGAGGTTTTGTGCAGCATGCAGGGGGATAGTAGAGAATTGAATTCGATAGCTGGCCAGTTGCAGTCTGACTTCTTTTTTGGTTTCCGCTGTTTTTACAGTAAATTGGCTTCATGATTATTTAAATGTAGTTTATGAATATGTAAATGACCGGGCGGGTTGGCCGCTGGGGGGCGCCGTGCGCTCGCGCCTGAGGGCGGCGGGGCCTCCGCCCCCCCCTTGCTTTGGGTGGGGTTTTTTGGTACCTTTCTGGTTCTTTTATTTGTTTGTGGTTATTATTTGCATTTATTTATTTATGGACCCGTTGGAGGCACTCCAGAGGAGGTCACGAAGATGCCCCGTGGGCTGGGGCATCTCTGCTTTGCAGACTGAGAGAGCTGGGAGCGTTCAGCCGGGGGGGACCTTAGAGACCCTTCCAGAGCCTAAAGGGCTCCAGGAGAGCTGGAGAGGGACTGGGGACAAGGGATGGAGGTACAGGACAAGGGGGAATGGCTTCACACTGAAAGATGGGATGTTGGAAGGAAATTTTTCCCTGTGAGGGTGATGAAACTCTGGCACAGGTTGAGCAGAGAAGCTGTGGCTGCCCCATCCCTGGAAGTGTCCAAGGCCAGGTTGGACAGGGCTTGGAGCAACCTGGGCTAGTGGAAGGTGTCCCTGCCCGTGGCAGAGAAGTTGGAACCAGATGATTTTTAAGGCCACTTCCAACCCAAACCATTCCATGAGTCTATTGCTATGATATGTATCAGAAGATGAAACAAATTAGATATATTTACTTATTTATTTAATTCTGATATGTTAATGGAGTCTTCTGATGTCTCCAATGGCTTTTGACACCAAAATTATTACGACTCTGAATTTATGGTGTTCTTCTGTTGTGTAAGTTTGAGCTCAAAGAATGCACTTTAAAATTTTTTTTTTGACTGCCCTGTGCTTTCTGATAACCTCCCAGAGTTGTCCTGATCCTGGCCACCTGCAGCCTAGGCAGCTATTGGGAGAGTGACAAAGCATGAGTACTGAATGAAAAATAGAACAATTGCATAATTAACAGTGTGGGCTGGAGAGAAACTTGTTTAAAAGTAGAACATTGTGCTTGAGAAGCTGAATAATGAAATCCTGCCCTTGTAACGCTCTTCACTTTTTCTCTACAGTGCCCTGACTGTCATCCAGCAGTTAGAAAATGCTGTAGTTTGCCTGGGCTAAAATCACATCTTACTCAAATGGCCTGTTTGCTTAATTAAATTGGACAACTCTTGCTCTTTGTTACTCTGTATCTCAAAGAGAATCAGATCTGCGAGAATCAGATTAGGCTTGGAAGTTGCTCTGTGTTCTGCACTTGAAGATATGGCTGCAGCAGAGGACTGTATCCTCTCTGAGGTCTTTTAATGCTCTAAGCTCTTTCAGTGTACCAAGATTTTTTAATTCTTTTTTTTTTCTTTTACACTTTATAGAAACGAAGGCTCCAGTTAAGCCCAGAGCAATGTAGCAACTTCTATGCAGACCAATTTGGGAAAATATTTTTTCCTAATTTAACAGCCTATATGAGTTCTGGCCCTTTAGTTGCTATGGTTCTTGCCAGACATTGTGCAGTCTCACACTGGAAGGAATTGCTTGGACCATCCAACAGCCTGAGAGCTCGGATAACTCACCCTCACAGGTAACTCACTGACTGGCCTTGGGGAAGTCAGAAGGACTTTGTCATTCTCTTAATTGAGACCAGAAGTCCTCCTCCTTTTTTTTTTGTTTTTTTTTTTTTTTTGTACAGTAGAGACACAGATTTGGAGTGGCTTCTTATCTCTTCACTTTTGTGTAGCAGCTTTTCATCTCTGTTTTTTAGTATGTGGAGTTCACCTCTTTTATAGAGAATGATGAGTGCTTGAACAGAAGTTTTAGTAGCTACTTCCTATGTTTAAAACAAAATCAAGCCTATGTCCTGTTAATTACTCCATATATATTGCTTTTCTGTGCTCTCAGACTCCAGAGACCTGGAAGGGATTTGCAGTTGCCCTCCAAACAGTTATTTTTCTTGGTTTTTAGCTTAAGAGCACTCTATGGGACTGATGAGCTGAGGAATGGGCTTCATGGCAGTCTCAGCGTTTCCTCAGCAGAGAGAGAGATTCGATTCATGTTTCCAGAAGGTAAAATGGTTCACTTGATACATTGCCAGTCTTGGGGAGGATAAAGTCCTTCCCTGTCCTTCCCTGGTATTACTTGTCTCTGCCCAGACTCCAGATACAATTGATTTAGAAGAGGCTGGGTTTGTTTGCTGTTTGTGGGTCTCTTTATGTATAAGCCTTCTATGAAAGGCTACCAAATCTATCTGAAGAGCCAATACAGTTACAGGTATTGCTTCCACTTTTCAAACTCTGTGCTCAGAGAACTGGAGCAGACAAAGCTGGTAAATGAGAGGAAATGGGAAGCTGTTACACTCCAAGTGTTTCTGGCACTGTCAGCCTCGGAGACTCCTGTTGACTTGAGAATTCTCAGCTGACTCTCTTCTTGGGCTCAGGCTGAGTAATTCCTGTTCCAAAGCAGCTGGATGCTCACATGACAGTGCAATTCCAAAGTTAAGTGCCAGAGAAAGGGGCCTTAGAACCTGGAAAGGCTGGGAGAGGATCTCTTGTTTGTAGCAGGCTTTGCTCTTTGACAGTAAAATGCCAGTGCAACTGCTAGAAAAATGTGTCTGCTTTTGTCAAGCAGATCAGTGAATTTAACAGAAGATGTTGCACTTCCCTCCAAACCTTACCCATTGTGAGCTATGTCTCTTCTCCTCACCCTGACAACAAAGCAGGGCTAAAGGTGGGATGTTTAGGGTCTTTAGAAAGCACCTCCACACTGCAAGAAGAAAGTGCTAAACATGGGATATATTGTTTCTCTTCAGGGATACAGGTTTTCTCCGGATGATGGGATTTCCTCCTTTTCCATAATAGACTATAATTAGTAACATTACCTCAGGGACGCTGTAAAGTGGTTTAGGGAGTTTCTTTGCAGTTTGTTGTGGGAGAAGCTATAAACCCCATGATGTATTATTAACTTGTTAAGGAGAAGAGCAGCTCACGTATAAACAACCTTTGGAAGAGCAACGGTTTTAATCACTCCACAAGCTGCTTTCTAACACCTGTGGTTGCTCTTCCCAGCGATCCTGGAGCCAGTTCCCACTGGACAAAGGGCAAGGGATTACCTGAACCTGTATGTGAAGCCAACGTTGCTGGCTGGGCTCACTGCCCTGTGCAAAAAGAAGCCAGCAGACCCAATGGTAGGTACAGTGGAAGCTTTGGGATAAGCTTTGGGATACATTTACTCTGTATTTACTGAGTCCCTGTACGTAGGAAAACTACTCTGTTGCTGAAGAGCTGTGCTGTTTTAGCTCCTTGCTAATGAGCTAATCAAATAACGTTTGGTTTCAAGAAGTTGATTTGTTTGTTAGAGATGAAACAAGGGTGTGTTTTCAGTCCCCAAACAAAATGAGCTTTCTTTCATCTGGAAAAATAGGTTAAATGTGTTTTTAAAGCTCTACTAGTACTAGTTCACACTAGTACTTCCTTAAGCATGCAGATAATTAATCCATGTGGCAACTTGATGGCAGTTGTGGTGGATTTTACATCGTTATCAGGTTTATAATCAACATTGCATTTTTCTAAAAGATACATTTCTGTAACAAAAAGCCTGAAAAATAACTTGAGGTGTTTCTATGAACATGTGATATACATGGGGTCAAATTAAATGCACTTTGAATTGTTCCAGCTTTATAACTTGTTTACTTTATCTGTATGTCTGCCACTGTTGCCATAGAAATCTTGAAAACAGAGATTAAGTCCATCCCTTTGCCCAAAGGCCAGACCAGTTGTATCTAACTCTGGCCTGTTCTTTAGCACCCCAAATGATGGAGAATCTACAGTCTCCCTGGGCCATCTGTTTCAGTGCTTAATTATACTTAGTTAAAAGCTTTCACTAAAAGATAGCCTAAATCTCCTGGGCTCCAATTTTAAGCCCATTACTTTTTTTCCCCCCCTTTTACTATCCCCAGAAGACACTGGAGACAATGTATTATCTCCTTTTTTTGCAGCTTCCTATTGCATATTTGAAGAGTATTACCATCTTCTTTCCCTTCAGTCATCTCTTCACTGTATTAAAAACTGATTTTTTCTTGTTACAAGTCCCATTATTTTAACTCATTGTTTTGAATTTCAATTAATCTGCATTCTTAGCACAATTTTCTAATCAATTATGAGGTATCTAATAGTAACTTAATTGAGGCAATACTTTCCTTCTTTGCTTGCATGAAAGCTGTATGAAGCAGTGTCAGTAGCTTTGCTAAAAACATTATATTTGCACCTTCTTGGCCGTCCACAATGTCTGTGAACTTGTAAGAGCAGGAAAAGGATTTGATACTTCTTCAGAAATATATCTTGCCTGTTGCTTTTCTGTTTGTTACCTGGTAGGTGACTCACAGGGAATGGAATGTTTTGTTTTTTCCAATATCCTTTTTTTTTTCCCCTTCTTTCCTTTCTTCTTGAAGATGGCATCAGAAACTGTCTGTGCACTCAGAAATACTTGCTGGCAGCACAGAGGTTGTCTCAGCCAATTCCTTAAGTAACACAGGATAAATTTAATTGGGTTCAAATTAGTTTAATTTTTTTTCCCCAAAGTGGCTTTTCTAAGGGCTTTTGTGTTTTGGGATTTTTTGTTTGTTTGTTTTCCATTTCTGACTTGTGTTCTTACTGTTCCTCTGCTGTTCTGACTAACCTGTCCTGGTGCTCAGCTTGTTGGCTCTCCCTTTGCAAACCAAACTTTTTGCATGTGGTGATAAAGGGAGAGTGTTGCTGACCTCCCTCGTTTGCCATTCCACCAGTTCTTTCACTTCACAGCGTGGTATGAAGTTTGTTGTACTCAGCATTCCAGAAACTAATCGTCAACAGCCCTGTGAAGTAAATAAGGATGTGTTAAAAACTTTGCTTTACAAGTGGAGAAATCGAGGCAAAAGGTTAATTTGCCTGAGGCCAGGCCCAGACTGGCAGATGGAGTTGGGACTCATGGCATTCCTGCCTCCCACATTCTTATGCTGGAAAACTTACAAGATGAATTTCAAAGAGTAACCACGTTTTGGTTTTAAGTTTTAGGTATTATAAAGTGATTTGAGTGCAGAAGGCTGGCACTTTGAATGAATGATTACTGGATGAGGTATCTCTAAGTGTTGTCAGGAGTAATATTTCATTAAGCAGTTTCATGTGTCTTGTGCAGCCTCATTCCAAAGCAGAGCTGGCTGCATTATTTGAAATATGGCTCAAACGTTCTTACAATTACAAAAAGATAAACACTGCCAGGAAGAGTTGTCTTCTAAAGGTCAGTGTGAATTGTTCAAAAGCAATATAAGCTGTGAACATTTAAAAGAACATTTTGAAAAAGCAGGTTATCTGCATGTCCAGTTTTTTCTGAAAGGTCTTAATTTTGCAGCACAGTAGGAGAGTATCTGTAGCAGACGTTTCAAATAATGCTTTTAATATTCTCCCATACATTTAGTAGAAAACAACAGAAAACTGACAACATTTGGGGTTTTTGTCCACAGATTTGGCTTGCTGACTGGTTGATTGAACACAATCCTAATAAACCTAAACTACAATTTCATCTCTGAGGAAGAGCATCGAGGGTGAGGGCTCAGTGGAAACCATCTCAGGCATTTCAAGCTACAGATGTATATTATCAGTGTGTCCCTTGACTGTGTAACCAATATTATCTGAAATAAATGCATTTATCATAACTACTTGTGTCTTCATGGAATAAATAACCTTGCACTTAACCAGGATGAAGTAGTTCTAGTGGCTTCTCTATTGATGAAGTGAACGTAGAATTACATGATAAATTTATGGCATTGGGTGATTAGAAAAAGACAACATTCTCAGCAGGTGTGACTTACTGCTGTTTTCCCCATTTTTCTTGGTGTGGGGAGAACAAAATTATTTACCCCAGTGTGGATTCCCAAACAACACCCACCTGGCCTGTGCTTTGTGAAACCAAGAGTGGTTTTTCAGCATTTTTTTTAGCAGAGAGGAATTCAGCTGTGAAGGGAGGTACTTGCATGTAACATAGAAAACAATTACTAGAGGCATATTAGCAACTTGGGAATTTTAATTGCTGATTACGTCACCGAGCTAAGGTTACTCTTGAAGATGATTTATTTTGTCAGAATGTAAGTTGAAGGTACGTTGAAAGCACCTTTCCCATCTTGATGGCAAAAGGCACAGTGATTATAAATCAGTCTTTGATTTCCATTACAAGTCCTAAGAAGATGTATTTTAGTCAAGGACTAAGGTTATCTTCCAACATTTTTTTTTGCAAGCAAAGTGCTTACCTGGAACAGCTCACCCTAAGAATGTTTTCTGTGTGCTCCTGCTCTTCCAGGTGTGCACATTTCTGGTTTTGCCTTGAACTTTAGTGTGTTCTATTTGAGAATTTCAAGAAAATGGGGCAATGGGTCAGTCCCACACTATTACCTTTTCTGAAGTAAATTAACTGTTTTTTGGGATGTGGGGCTTTTTGATTTTCTTCAAAGAGCTGTACTTATACCGTTAACTTCAAGCTTAATATCTTGTGGTTTGACTGGCTAGAATGAAGAAAGTGTCATTTTCATAACCCTGAAATATTGGTATGCTTGACTAATACTAAACAAACAAACAATTTCATAATTTGTTTCATGAAAAAACTTGCTCCCCCAATTTCAGTAATTACCATAAGTCATTTGTTTGTAACATTAAACTTTAAGTGAATTGTTTATCCTCTCGGTGGAATAAACCACTATTGCCAGCCCTGAGAATAAACATTTAGAAAACTGGTCCCTACAGTACCAGGACCTAAAAATCTTGGGACTTCTAGGATAAGAAAAAACCAAACCAAACCAAAAAAAAAAAGAAAGCTCAAACCCTTGAATAATGAAGGAAAAAAATGAGGTAGTTAGAAATACAGCAAACAGATCTGTTCACAACCCGTTTATTTTGCCTATAAATTTTGTCCCCATATGTGTCTGATTGCTCCAATTACAGGACAGTTGTGCTGTGTGGTTTCCTGTCAGCAAAATAAAAAAAAAATTCCTTTTTTGAAGGTGCCAGAAATGAAAACCCAGTGAATTCACAGGGCATTCAGCTGCATTTTTTTAGTTACTGTGGCATTTGGTTACTTACTTTGATGTGATACTGCTTGACAATAAATATGTCCTTTATGTTACTGCTGGAGTTTCCAGTTTTGCTTTTGTACCTACAGAGGATTGTAACTCCATAGAGTAGGTGGGTCCTTACCAGGGGGTTTGAGAGAAAGGGCAAAGACAGCTGATGTTGACAATGTCACCTTTATCACCCATGTAATATAAATTTTCAGTCATTCAAGTGTTCATCTGTCGTGGAATTACTCTCTCATATTGGAGCTGACACCAGGTGTTCACTTCCATTTTTCCAAGGGAAAGGTGGAAAGAGAGAAGTTCCCTTCATCCCATGGGTGCCATCCTGACTCTGTACTCACAGGACAAGTATTGATCCAGCAAACCTCGCAGCTGAGATCCTGAGAACCTGCATTAATGAGCAGGATGTGGGCAGAGGGTCAGTCCCGGGAATGTGAAATGGAGAACCAGCCTGGTCCCGTGGGGGAGCTGTGACACCACGGGAGAGGCTGTTGGGGCACAGGCTGCTGCTTTTCTTTCGGTCTTTAGGTTCTTCTTTAGCCCAGAGTGGTTCAGGCTTGGCCAGTGTTGTAAATCCATGGCACAGAAAATGTAGCTTTGGGAAAAATCCCAGAAGAACTGAAAGATGTCTTGCGGTTTGATGTCAGCAAGGTGAGATGCTCCCTGGGGAAACAAGTGACCTATCCTCTCCCTCTGTCAAGTCAAAATAATTACCTTGCCTGTTCAGTTTTATTGGGGATTTTTAACTTTGAGGGAGTTCATTTTAGTTTTATTGCGGGAGTGCTGGAGTTGAGCTGCGTCCATAAAACCAGCAGTTCAGTCTGTTTCCCATAATTCTGTTTTTTCAACTGGCTTTCTCCTGGAACTTCACTTATCATACCCTTGCTATCACCTGCACTGGAAGTTGTTCTTGGAACTACACAGGTTGGGCTAGTTTGAAGTACATGATTGTTCAGCCTTTCTGTCTCCTGAGGGATTTATTATCTTCAAGAACAGTTGAACTTCCAGGAACCCTGATCATACTTAAAAGGTGGCAGAAGCCTCAATCACAGCCAGTTTCCCGTTGCCCACATATGTCAGAGCATTCCAGTGTGCAGAGCTCCAGAAATGAGGCACTGGGCAGAGCTCAGCACTTCCAGTCAGCAAATTTAAGGCTGTTACATGGAGATTTGCAAACCTTCATTTTTCTCCTCTAGAAAAAGAGGATTTGTGTTCCTTCCTTCATTCAAGCTGTTTATCATGACTGTCCTTTAAACAACAGTTGTCTGAGCAAGATTCGTGCTTTGGTGATAAACTGATGGATATTTGTCTCATGGCACTACATGAAGGGAAGGAGTGACTCAAACACTTATTTTTTTGGTGCCATATTAAAATGAGATGCCATCTGAAGACATAAGGGTCATCATTAATTCATTAAGTCAGAGCAGTCAGATCAAGATAATTCATGCTGTTCTGCATAGTAAATGTTGGTCATTTTTGGTGCTACCCAACAACAGCACATCCTCTGAAAATACTGTGGTTCTTAAATTTCCTTTAAGAAAATCTGAAGAGGAGTTATTTTTATTTTATTGGAAAGGCTCTTTGCACATCATAAAAAGATCATCATAAAAAGATAACTTGTGATTGTTTTTGCAGTACTGTTCTCTTTTAGATGCCAGTCAGTAGATTTGTTCGTGGACTAGAAATAAGATTTCAGTCCTCTGTGCTCGTTACCTCCTGCTTGGCTTTACTCTGGCAGACTTGGCTCAAACCAGTGTGGCAGTGTCACCAGGACCATCACAGGAAACAGGTTCTCTCTGGTTCTGCCCTTAGTGAAACGGAAAAACCTGCTGCTTTTGGATGGTCAGCGAGGAGCAGCTGCCTGCACCTCGAAATGTTCCCTAGTCTGGATGAGCTCCTTTGGGTGTGGAGTGTGTCAGCAGCGTGACTGATGTGTGGAGTCTCCCTGGGAGGATGCCTGTCAAATCATTGTCATGCTGCCTCCCGCCAAGTGATCATGGGGACACTGCCATAAGCTCAGGGGAGAGCTTTGTGTTGCTCTTCTGAGCCAGAAGCGAGGCATTGTTGTGAGACCAAGCAGTTGGTGGGAGAAGAAGGCAGCTCGCAGACAAGTGGGTGAATGATACTCTAATAATGGTAACACTGAAGGATTAAGAATTCTCCTCAGTTCGCTGCTGGTGTTTTAGGGCTGAGGGAGGTGATGCTTTTGCACAAAGGTCTTCAGGTGGTGCCTTGCTGGGTGTGGTTACATTGGTCTTGTATGGCATCGCTTTTTGTACCCCGGAAGCCCCCGACTGACTCACCCTTGCTTAGCTGTGGTGCTATTCTGAAGAATGATTATTAAACAATAAAACAACACAGCACTGATACCATGTCTGGGACTTCATTACTGTCATATTTAATTTATTGAGAAGTCTTTTCACCTGGGATCTCTGAGTCAGCCTGGATGGATCCTCTGTTTGGCTGGACAGAAAAGGCAGAAAAGTCAGCCCCAGGCTGCCTGAGCAAGGAATCACAAATGAACTCACCCTAAGTTCCAGGGAACTTTTATGTACAAGAACCTAATTTGGCTCTAAACACTCTTGGCTTTAGTAAACTCCTCTGCAAACCACTCGTGCTTCTTTATCATCTATTTATAATCAACGCTTAAGCTCTCATTTCCTTACAAGGGGACGGCTGTGTTTTTTGTCAGTGTTTCCAGAATCTGCGCTGGTTGTCAGGTTTTAGGAAATTCTGCATTTCCAAAAGCAACATCTTATTGCCGTGCTGGCCGGTGGATCTTATCTCTTTCAGGTGTTGTAAAGTGTTTTCTTACTGGGTGGCATTCCTGTTGCCGTGTGAATGACGGCAATGTTTTGTGTTTAGTTTGTGTCAGGCCTCGTCTCTCCATGTGAGAAAATTCCCAGGAGTGTTTAACGGACGCGTGCGGACAAACCTCCTGCACGCCCCATAAACCCCTTTACTGTGGGCCACTATAAAGCAGCCATTACAGGGTGATGTTTAAACTTCTGAGATTGACACAGTCCCTCAATTGCACTTACTTATTTTTATAATGTGTAATTTAGCAACTGAACCGTGAAAAGTTATGGCATAGCAAGGTCTTCTTAAAAAACGGTGGCTCCAACTGTGCTTTCAGTTTGTGCTTCGTTGTAAATCCAGAGCAATTCCGTTCTGTCAGTTAAAAGGAAGAGGGAAAATTGGATCGTTCCTGGGAGCTGCTCAGATGGTGCGGTGGACCAATGTCTGAAATGTACTGTCAGGTGTTGGCATGGCACATTTTCCACTCCTATAAGGAGCTTGTGCCCAGTTTCTCAGGAGCCAGACTTGGACAATACTGTTCCCTGCATGCAGAACACTTGGGCATTTTCCATTTTGCTCAGGTGTTTTTGCGTGGATGAAGAAAGTTTGAATACCAGATGCTTTTTCTGTGGGCACCGCACATCTAGATAGCCACGAGATCAGTCCCTGGCACTTACCACTTCCACTGATCTATCCCATGAGGCTGTGTCAGAACACTTGTTTTCCTCAGAGCTCTTCCATGTAAATATACTGAATTGACCAGCAAAGTTTTGACCGTGACTGTCTTTGTTTTG